TGCGGAGCTGGGATGCGCGTCGCTTGTGCATAATGCATCCGGTCCATGGGCTGCCAGTTTGACACCCCTGAGATAGAGGATAGGTAGCTAGCTGGGTGCTGTTAAGGGTCTGGATGGGGAAGAACAGATTCAAGCTGAATCCTAGCAAAATCAAGTGGATGCAGGTCCAAAGGCCAACTGAATGCAGATATGCAATTCTTCTTTAGTTCTGGATAGTGTTGTACTCCCCCAAACAAAGCTGGCATGAAAACCAGAGGTCAGCCTGAACTAATGGCTCTTGCTTGAAGAGTAGATGCACAATTACTATATATCTTGTGCATAAATTTTGGCCATTCATAGGTCAGGAAATATTATCTAGAGTCATTCAAATACTTCTTTCCTCAGAGCTGGATGAAAGTAAATTGCCTAAATGGGACCGTTCTTGCAGACTACCCAAAAGCTGCAGCTGGTGTGTAGCATATAGCAATCCAGGTACTATAAGCATTCCTGGGCTTATCTGTGTGACATATTGCTATATGAGCTGCACTGGGTGCCAGTTAGCTTATGGTGCAAGTCAAGGTGCTAATTTTAAAGCCCTTTTAAGTTGCAAATCTAAATAGCTTCTCCAATTGATTCTGTCTACATCTGTCTGAGAGAAAAAGCTTAAGGATCCATTACTGAGGGAAGTGCCATTTACACTGATACCACAGTCTGGCCTTCTCAGTCATGACTTCCTTTCTGTTGAACAGCTTATTCCCCAGATCTCTGCACTGGCCCTTTCCTGTTGGAGTTCCAACTAACTGCAGAAACATGGCTGGTCCAAAATGTATTTGGGGATACTGTCCATTAGCTTAATCCTATTGAGTGACACTGTTAGTGGATGTTGTTGCTATGTGGTGATATATATTAATATTTGTTACCGATGATGGAAGTTGCTTAGAAGTTTGGGCAGCAAGAAGCCCACATCATTCGTTCATTCAAAGGAAGAAAATGAAGGGAGGAAGGGAAGAAAGAAAAAGAAAGAAAGAAAGAAAGAAAGAAAGAAAGAAAGAAAGAAAGAAAGAAAGAAAGAAAGAAAGAA